GGGGGGGGGGGGGGTCTGACCTTGATTGCAAAAGCTGTTGGACACCTATGGTACAAGTATCCCTCTCAAGCAGTGCATTTTATGAACTCCTGGTACTCCGCTGCTCTGTGCCCCATTCCTTCACATGTGTAACACACTGTGCAGCCAGGTGCTCCTCCTTCCTGTATGTACTACACTGCTTCAGCTGCCCGTGGCAGGTTGTAAAACCCCAATCTGGCCCTACCTGGACCACAGATAGGAGATGCTGCACTCCACCTGAGCTCCACTCGTTTGTTTTTTAACACTGCTTAAGCTCTCCAAGATCCCATCCAAATACCATGTTTGTCCCTCACTACCCACAGAACTCTTTGCACACTATTTTCCAATTACTTATTTCTTCTGCCTCTATCTGTATACATTCAGACAATAACCAGTCTCCCTTGACTGCTCTGCTGCTACAGTCTTTAAACCTTTTAATTCCTCCCTCCCCCATTCCTCTGCATATCTCTCCCAAATCTGTCATACACATCTTTGTTCCAGTAAGTCAGTTGCTACATCTTTTGGCTAGAAAAACCAATCAATTTGTTGAGGTATTCTGTCTGCATGCCCAATATCTCAAACAGTACTTTCTCCACAAAATCACATTTGTTCATCATCATTCCCTTCTACTCCCCACTGCCAATTAACAGTGTCCTTATCCATAGTCTCCACTCTGGACCAGCATCCTGCAGCACAGCATCTCTTCCATGTCTTCTTGCTGTGCCACTCCCAGTGGGCCAACCTTCTGTCACACTCCCACAGATCCTTCTCCAGCTGCTCCCATCATCCTTCTGGCTGCATCTCTCTCACCACTACCTTCTCTGCCACTGCTTCTGTTGTTGCTCCTGCGTTCACCTTTGCTGTCTTTTCTCTCCACTTTTCCACCGTTACCCACTCTCTGTGCATCTCCAGGCCTTCATTTCCACTCTTCATTTTTCTTTCCACTTCCTGGTCATCAGCCACCGCTGCCATTGTTTTGGGCTTCAGGTTTCCCTCTTCCATTTCTGTCATCCTGGTGCTCCATTGATATATCTTCCTCTGTCATTAAGCCATTAATCAGGCTCTCTGCTGATCACTTGATCTTAGTCAAAAGGCTGAGATGCTGATGGGAACCTACCGCAAGGATAGGTTACTGCAGCCTATCTGAATAACAGATATACTAGAGCCCATTAAGTGCAATCCTCCTCATCACTGATTCTTTTTCAAGTCACGGTGATCCATGCCATTGTATACAGTTCACCCAGAATCCCCCTGTTGCCCCCTATCTCAGCCTGGTGTACATGATTAGTGTGACCTTGCCCTCCATGCAGTGAAGCCAGACCAGGTTGCCCTGCACCTTAGGAATGCCTCCCCGGAACGCATAACACACTTCCAGTCATGAGTGGGGGCTAATTAGCACATGGATCCTTTGGGAGGGAAGAGGAGGGAGTATCTGGAGTACACACACAATGAGCGGTGTTAAGCTATGGGGTCACTATGGAGCGCAAGGCCACTCTAATTATATATGCCAGGCTGAGAGAGGGGGCGACAAAAGGATTCTGGGTGAACTTAATACAATTCTGGGGCTCACCTTGGCTTGAAATGCTGTTGACTCTAATAGGGCCCAGCCGAGCATACTATGTGGTAAATCACAAGCCTTTGGGCTTTAGACTAATACCATACATAGTTTATATTAGATATAAGTAGATGCCAAAGTACTGCTCAAAAGCATATTTATAAAACACTTGTGCTAAAATTTGCAGCGCTCATCAGAAAGGTAATATGCATCAATTCTAGATGAACTAAGTCCGTGGGTCTATATGCAAATTGTTATAGCCATGTTTAATTTCAAGGTTTGTGTTTTCAAGTCGCTCCTCACTTCCACATTGCTCAGGGAGAGCAGGGTCTGATAGTAAGGGGAGGGGGAAGCAGCTGTCAGGGGGAAAAAGTTGGGAGAAGCAGAGAGCAAAGGGATACCCCAAGATTTATCTTCCCTGCTATATCAGTGGCAGGGGGACAAATTCAAGGCAAACCTCCAATAATTAGATTCTATACCTGGAAAGTTATAACAAATTTGTAACTTTTCCATATATAGAATCTAATTACTGGGGAGTTATCTTATAATCAGGGCCATCTTCTATTTGAGTAAATACAGCAATACTATTCCCTTTCCAGATTACAACCAATTTAATTAAATTTCACTTTCTAATTATGAATTTAATATATTTTCATTCCAGCTTTACAGAATCACAGAACTGGAACAAACTTCAAGAGTCATCTTTCCCAACACCCTGCAAAGATCCGGGATTTGCTGGTCTTAAACCATCCTAAACAGATACCTGCCCACCCTCACTCTGTTGAAATGAGATTCTTCAACCTCCCTAAGCAGCTTGTTCCATTGTCCTACTTGATTTTGCAGTTCAGAACTTTTCCATGAGATATCTACAACTCCATCTTCTCTCATATACTTCCTTTTCCCCTCTACACAGAGGAAGCAGAGCCACACAACTGCTTTACTGCTGACACTTACCAGGTCCTCATCCTGGGTGCGCAAGTGAGCTGTACACAAGGTGTTTAGCAGTCTGTGGGGCACTGCCACACTCACATACTGGATTGTCTTTTAAGCCAGCATTTCTTAACCTGTGGGTCTCAAGAATATACAAAAAGGTTGCGGACCAACTTTAAAAATGGTCTCCCCTTTAAAGGAGAAAAATGTGGAAAACCATGGCTTTTCCCTTGCAGGCTGTCATAGTTCCAGCCTGCAAGGTTGGGCCCCCGCCCATGTTCCATACACACGTCCCCTGCCCCACACACTGTGGGGGTGGGGCTTGGGGGTGGGCAGCAAATCAGGACTGAGGAGCACTGGGTCAGGACTGGCCATCCATGTTTACAAATAGGTCTTAGTACAAAAAAGGTTGAGAACCACTGCTTTTTAAGCCAATCTTATAAAGTGTGGCATCAAAGTGCCCAGTTCTAGAGCAAATCCTGTTTTGTTTCATTCTTAAGTTGCAGGGGAGCTCATGCCCACGTGGATAGCGTTGGGTTACTTATGAAGCGCTTGAGAAGAGAATCATCTCACTTTCTGGGGTGTTGTTCAAAGTGTCCATACAGCACTGCTCCCACCTTCACACTGTTGCAACTGTACCGGTCTAAATGGATTTCTTGACTTTCTAGTCG